TAATCCTAGCTATCCTGATGGCTGAGATCTTAGAATAGTGGTTCAAAGTCAGTATGGGCAGGAAAGTCCGTAAGAAAGTGGAGCTGTGGCTCAATTGGTAACAAAAAGCTGGGATAGCCTGAATTCAGGTACCAATACTAGCACAATATACCACTAAGTTCCTCAATGAAAGATCATCACTAATATAACCCTTCCTACAAATGAACCTCAACAATCCTACCACACAACAAATAGAAAAGATGGAAGGAGAAAAGCAGCATACTATCGTTGATCTTTCTAGAAAATGAAAGCAGAAACAAGCACGCACACATATGTGCGCGCGCACACACACGAACATTTTCAACTATATTGAGGGAATATTCAACAAGGTTCTTTAAATAATTGGCAATGATCAGGTATTTAGTTTTCAGAATATGTAGGTTGTGTGTTATTTTTTTCCTAATAAAGCATTTCAAATTCTAATTAAAAAATACTTTATGGAGGAATTAAAAAGATGCAATAGTGTCAGAGGAAAAGCCATGATCCCAGAAGTGGAATAGTCTTACAACATAACTTACCAGAAAGTACCCTATAAAAACAGATTGTTGATTAACACAAACTCATAACAAAACACAGAGAGCTATCACAATGGTGCTGTAATAACACTTGGCTGCTGAATTCCTTCAATACATTAAATATCTCCTTGGAGACCAAATTGCTTTACATTTTCTTAAAAGACAATTTATTATAGCTTTGTTTTCTTCTCATTATCTCTTAAAAATATATTGAATGAAGAAAAGAACACAACTTCTAAATAACTTACATAAAATGGTACTAATGTGTGACAACAGACTTTGGTTTAATATGTTGGTTATTATTTAACAGCACACAACAGTCTAGTTCTTGAAAATCCTTACCATAATATGATATTCTCTGTGTCACATGTATCAAAAACTACTGAATCCCATTATTATAGCACTCATAAAATTAACAGCCTCAGGCTGCTAGATATTTAAATAATTGATAAGTTTTCAATTAAAAAGGCAACATTTTCAAGTCTAATACAAAAATCTGTTTAAATTACTGATAAAAACTTACACTTATGTTGGCCCAAAGCCAGCAGAAAATGCTTGCATACATGGAGAGAAGAATTCTGTTTCAACTCAGATGTTGCATTTTTTAATTCCTATAAAGCCTTATCTGAGGTTTAGTTCTTAACTAAATCAATGAAAAGAATTATCAAAGGGCTAATGGTAAAAATACTTGTACTTTGGCTTGCCCCTATAAAGCTTTTTAAAAACTTACAAAGTAACTTCAAATATATTGAATTTCTCATGAAAATCTAAGCTATTTTATCTTGTTTTTATGATAAAAATGTGGCCCTCCATCAGTATCTTCCCTCAGTTATTATATCAAATCCTGGAATCAAAACTTTTTCAGAGTCAAATAAACCTAACGAAATAAAGACCAATGTAAATGAGTAATAAGCTGCCAACCGTGAGGTCTATCAACCAAAAATCTATTGCAAAATTAGATATACTGGTTCTCTATGACAAAACTAGGCCCTAAAAGGATTTCCAGCTATAAAAATCAAAGACAAAATCAAGTGACAGCTGACCAATCTTGCCTGTGCTCTTTATAAACTGCTCCTTACTTTTTAAATGACTGAGAGCCTACTAAGCAAAAGGTATGTGATGGCATACAAAGAGAAAGGAAAAAGGAAATCCATTTAAATTATAAATGACTTAAAATACCTTTTCTCTCAGAGATAGTTTCATTTGTACTCCAAATCTTGCCAAAAATACTCAGTATCAAAAAAGCACAGCTCTACCTTAAGTAAGTTAAAATTTGAGGACAGGGAAATTGGGTTCCCACCTATAAAATTTTGATGGTGAATTAATGAGAAAAAAAAACTGTACCCCATTAGCCAATCCAGCGTCAATCCACTAAAAAAAAAGTCTTAATCCATCCACAGCAAAGTAAGAAAATATAATAATGTCATGGGTTTTATATAAAACTAATACTTTAACGAAATGGGTATCATTGTTTTGAGATTATGCTCTGCCTACTCCTTAACTTTTTTGATTACTATCACTATTTTTCCTTGTTACTAAATACAGGTAATAAGCTCTTTATTAATTTATTTTCTCAATGTGTCTACATGACAAAATTAAAAGTTGCCCCACTTATGTCTATCCTGCAATCTAAAAATGAAAAACTGATTCACACATGAAATCTAAATTTGATTGCATGAGCCAGATGATTATCTTTTTAGATGAAAATCACCTCCTAAGAAATCTTGGGGGGCTGTGAAGGTGGCTCAGTGGTAGAGTGCTTGCCTTGCATTCATGAGGCCCTGGGTTCGATTCCTCAGCACCACATAAACAAAAGAAAAAAGCTGGAAGTAGCGCTGTGGCTCAAGTGGTAGAGCGCTAGCCTTGAGCTGAAGAGCTGAGGGACAGCGCCCAGGCCCAGAGTTCAGGCCCCAAAAAGAAAAAAGAAAAAAGAAATCTTGGGACCTTTTACATGTGGTATAATGTTATATAATGTCTAATATTTTTCTACAACAAAACTAAATACTGTACTTGAAAAAGCCAAAATTGTAAGGAATACGTATTACAGGTATCATAACTATTATATGAATGCAAGTCATTTCAAATTTAATTATGGTAAGAACAAAAAAGTTTGCAGTTAGGAATTTGCAGAGGTGGATAAGAAAGATATGAATAGAGATAGTGAAAAAACACAGGCTTTCATTGGGCTAACAGTAAGGATGGCAGAACATAAATTCTGTATTTTCAAACCAGCTCTAGGACTGGGTATGTCACATCTCTTAACCATGCCTTCTTCATTTAAAAAAATTAATAAAAATAGGGCTAGGAAGGTGGCTCAGTGGGAGAGCACTTGCCTTGCATGCCTGAGGCCCTAGGTTCAATTCCTCAGTATCACATAAGCAGAAAAAGCCAGAAGTGGTGCTGTGGCTCAAGTGGTAGAGCGCTAGCCTTGAGCTGAAGAGCTGAGGGACAGCACCCAGGCCCAGAGTTCAGGCCCACGACCAACCAAAAAAAAAAAAAAAAATTAATAAAAATAACCAAACAGTATGCTGGTGGCTCACGCCTATAATCCTAGCTACTCAGAAGGCTGAGATCTGAGGATCACGGTTCAAAGCCAGCTCAGGCAGAAAAACAGATGAAACTCTTATCTCCAATTAACCATCAGAAAACTAGAAGTGGCGCTATAGCTCAAGTGGTAGAGCACTCACCTTGAGCTTAAGAGCTGAGGGACAGAACTCAGGCCCAGGTTTCAAACCCCAGGACCAACAAAAAATAAATAAATAAATAAATATGTTTTTTAAAAAAAGGTAATAATATCTACCTCAGAGTGGGTATTAAAGCCATAAAAGAAAAACATACCTCAAGCATTAGTATATACAACATAGACTCAGAAATGGAAACGGTTATTACCATCAGTATGTTCATATTCAGTACTGTTATTCCAAAAGCACACTTAAAGACCTTCTGAAAAGTCAACATCTTTTATGTGTGGATATGCTGAATATACATGAAAGTATATCGATGTCAGGTCTCTGCCATGGACTTACATAACAACACTAGAACCCATCTGTGTGCATGTTTTCTAAATATAAGCATGGCCCACTCTCAAGAGACTAGCCAATCCATCAATACTAGTGCTAGACCTTTCCAAAGACAATCCTACTCTGCCTTTCAAGTACTGATGAGCTCAGCTCTAAATTCTCAGTGCACAAAGACTCCCACATCAGTTAATGGAAAGTCAATGGGAAATTGACTTTTCCTACTCTGTGTTGGTTGGAATGCAACGCTCTGTTAATCATGCCATCCTTCTTGTTCTCTTTCCTCCTACCCTAAATTAAAACTATTGGCGGAAACCAACACAGATAGTTTACAGTTTCCATTACAATGAAACAAGATCCTGGTTGAAGTTGAAGTCAATCAAAAACATACAACCTAATGGTAGAATACAATTCCAATCTCCAGGAAAAGCAGGGGCCCATTCCATCATTTCTACCAAAATATCACTTTGCATGTGAATAGGACTTTTAACTTTTCACAGAGGGCTTTCACATCTATTATCCTATTTGATCATTACAATGACCCTGTGCCCAGAAAGGACAAGTACTATTACCCACAATTGACAGATGAGAGAACTTCAGACTTGAAAGGTTAAGTGATTTGCCTAAGGCCAGAAAACCAGAGCAAAGATAAGGTCTCCTACTTCTGCTCCAATGCTCTTTCCACCAGACCATTAGAAAAGGTTTTGTAAACAGATTACAAAATGTTTTATAAAATAAAAACTTGAAAGGAAAGCTCAAATCAGAGCGTAGGGAAGCTATCTCTTCAATACTATTAATTTTTCAAGTAATGTTAAACCTTTAAAAATGTATCTTTTCTTCTTTAGTTCAGTTCCAGACAAACAATGCAAATTTTCACTGAAATTTGAAATATAAAAGTTCCAGGATATAGTCAAATCATTTTGATTGAGTAAGTAACCCTGTTGTTCATTCAGGGTGTGGGCAGGAGGACCAACAGTGCATAAAATAACAGAGTACATCTTTAAATCTTGTATCTATATTATGCCTGCAGCTACATTATTGCTATAGTCTGGAAGGGTGAAAGAGATCTCCAGTCAAAAGTAGATTTTGAAAAATTTTTTAGAGCCCAGGGGTTCATTTTTAATGAGCCGTTACTTTAAGTACTGCATAAAAAATACAGGAAATTGATAGTCCATTTAGTCTGCACCATACCTAATGCAAAAGTCATTAAGATGCATTATTCTTAATGTTCATGATATGATCAGTAAGTGTCTTTTGAAAAGAATGCCCTTAACTTTCACATAAAGAATTTTTGAAAACCTTGCCTGTTACATACAGAAATGGTATATACAGCAAGTGTGATTTGCTTATATATCTTATAAGTACCTAAGAAACAGCATCCTCAATTACAGGATCATCTAAAAATAGTCCTCATTTGTAATGTACTTACGTATGACAGCATAGCCTTCATTTCTTCATCACTTCTTACTGTAATTCTATCCCCATCTTCATCTTCATCTGTTTTTAAAGGAAGTATAACACAATGGTGAGATGTGCAATTTTTATGTACAAAAACCATGCTCTTAAGAACTTAATACAACTGTTTTTTCACAACTTGGAAGCTAAGCCTTCAATACCCTATTTTGGAAATCTGTTGGGATTATTAATTTATTGTTTTACTTTGTTTCTTGTAGCAATGCTGGGGCTTGAAGTCAGGGCCTGGGCATTGTCCCTAAGCTTTTGTACTCTAAGCAAGGACTCTACCACTTGAACCACAGCTCCACTTCTGACTTTTTGGTGGTTAGATAAAAATGGGAATTTGGGGGGGGCTGGGAAGGTGGCTCAGTGGTAGAGCGCTTGCTTTGCATGCCTGAGGCCCTGCGTTCAATTCCTCAGCACCACATAAGCAAAAAGAAAAAAGCTGGAAGTGGCGCTGTGGCTCAAGTGGTAGAGCGCTAGCCTTGAGCTGAAGAGCTTGGGCCCAGAGTTCAGGCCCCACGACTGGACCCAAAAAAAAAAAAAAAAAAAGGGAATTTTGGGTTTGTCTGCCTCACAATGAAATGGGAAAAGGAATCTACAAAAGAATAAGGAAATAAAATGGACAAAATAATGAGGAAATAGGGCAGAATAGTAAATTCCTGATATAACAACCTCACAGGAAATAGAAGCCTATCAAGTTCTCCCTATTTAATACAAGGCTAACCTCTGTAATAAAGAAGATAGCTATGACGCAGCCCAAGATGGGAGAAATAGGCTGAACACTGCTATCTTCTTCTTGTTGTGGCATGTCTGTACCACATGCTCTTGTTATTTCCCACCTCACAAACTTTTCTATCATCTTTACTTATGTTCATATCTTGTCTGAATGTTTCACTTGCCAGACAAGAGGACTAAGATCATTTGGCTGCCCTAAACTTTCTGATGTGTTGGCCAGGAAGTCAGATAAACTGTCTTTTTCTGACTTGGCTTCAATACTGTTTTACTTCTCAGTCAGAACCCTAACCTCCCTCTATTTCTATACTTTTCCTCTCTCCAAAGCAACACATACCAGTGCAACATGATGACAATGGCTAGTGTTTATTAAACACAACTACATACAAGGCACCATGATTTGTGCTTCATATGTAAGAATGCCTTAAGGATCACCCACAATTCTATGACATAGACAACCCTTGACAGAAGATCCTAGGGCCTAGTGGAAGGTCACCTTGAAAAGCAACTCTAACAGGGGTCTCGCCATCTATCATTCTACCTATCTACCAGCATCCTCACTTTCCAAATAGTTTCCTTTTATTAAAACTGTTATTCATACTATTTTAAAATAACTTTATAGTCTTAAGACAAGATAAAAAGACTTCATAAGTGCATAACCAGAACAATCATATTTGAATAAGGATCACCAAGAGAGCAACATCCAGAAACAATGTACCTATTTCAATGATTCTCTTAATCTAAGTAGTTTTAAAATATCTCTTCCATAACTGCTTTAAAAATCTGAAGACAGATCACATAAAAATATCAGATCCCTTTTTTAACCCACATGGAAACTGTTGGCCTGATCACCCACCCACACCAACTGCAAGTCTGGAGTCAAAATGACTTCTGGCTATTTCTATATATGTCATTTACTGCTTCATCCTTCTAACGATAAAGATTTGTCAGGAGTGACAGTATTTGATAGTCTAAGTGGCAGATTCTAAACACATAGTTGAAAGATAAATGCCAAAAACATCTTAGAAGTTCTCAAAGCCAGCTTGGAAAAAAAAAGTGAGAATGTAGAAAGGGCCAGCTCTCTGCAGGATGCCTCCATACAGGGAACTCACTAAGTCATCAATATTATTTTTTGTTTACTCTTAGGCATATAATTGCTGATCTGATCAAGTGCTGACAATATGCTGATCTCGGCCCAGTGAATGAAGTGTCTCTCCTCCAGAAGGAATAAGCAGGCATGAGAGCATGAAGACACTGAGGAGATATGGGGGAGAGTCAGTTCAACTCATAGACCTTCCCCTACCACAGCAGGCCTGCCCTCCTGTCCAGTTCTGAAAGTGTCCCCTTGCGCCTTGGTGACCAGGCCATGGGTACCCCAGGAGGCAGTTTGTGCTCTCTTTCTTTCAATTAGCCTGATGCCAAGCAAAATGCTATAAGTCCCCCTCAATAGCTAATAGTAATCTGAAAACATGAGAAAAATAGTACTCCTCAGACCCCAATCAGTGACCAAGCTCACACCTCTCCCAATACACTCATTTCTGGATCCTGGATCTGGATTCTGCATCCTGAATCCTGGATCCTGGCTCACTCCTCCAGGGCCATATTAGGAGGACAAAGCCATTCTAGTTATAAAAACTGATGAGAGGATTTCCTATGAAGATTCTAGAAACTAACAATTTTAAGGTTAAGGTGAAAGTTTTCTCAAAAATGCAGAAGACAAAGAAGAAAAGGGTACAAAATAGTATGTTATATATTACCACATATGAAAGTACTTTGTATTTTTGCTTTAATAAAAGTTCAAATTCTGTCCCAGCCTGAACAAAGTAGCTGTTTTATAAATCTCATTTCTGCTAGCTAAGCTGTTGATGCTTCTGTTCAAATTTCATTGAATACAATACCTCAATAAGGAACGAGAAGCTTAGGAATCAGTAAAACAAGTAAAAAGTCTTTCCATAATTCTAAAGAGAGGGCATACTCCATAAATATCAAGACATGAGAAAGGGAAGAAGGAAGGAAGAAAGGAGACAGGGAGAAAATGAGAGAAAAAATGAGACAGAAAAAACAAGACAGAGACACAGGCACACAGACACACAGACACACAGATACACACAGACACACACACATACACACACACACACACACACACAATGAGGAAGTTAGTTCTGAGAAACAGCCTTACCTTAAGTTACTAATGAAACTTGACAAAAAATACTCTGAAACTCTAGGCTTCTGTGAAATCTCAAGGGATATTTTGTTGGGGGGCGGGAGAGGGGGATGGAGGTAGGGAGGCCTGAAGGAAATCAAGGGGCGATTATTCCTTGCCGAGCAGTTCCAGAAAAAGCAGCTATGAAACCTTACCAAAACATTGCTTTAAATAAACAGAAAAGTTTTGGTGATGACCTACTAGCCAAGTGCTGGAGCTGTCCCATAATAACAGGTTGGCTCCAAAGGAAGATTTGACAAAGAATAAAAGAAGCATTCCAATAAAGCCTGGAGATAAAACCTGGCTATGTCATGCAGACATAGAAACCAATAGCTCTTAGAGATTAATAGAAGACCCAATTTTATGTAGGTCTTGGTTTTCTTGGGGGCCTACCTTTTTACTCTTTAATACCTGTTGCTTCAGTAAAGAATAAAACTCCTACTTTTGTCGAAGAGCAGATTAAGTTGGGAAAAAATTACCATAGCCATGAGCAAACTTAGGGGTTCTGATCAAAAAAGCAAAATCTAACCTGCCTCTGACCACCAGATAGAAGCCCAAGTCCAAACCATTCACCCCTACATTTAACTTCAGAAAGCAAGTGACAGGAATGAGAAATGATGAAGGGTAAGGAAACAGAATATACAGCAAGCTATTTAGTATAACAGTAACCTAAAATATCTTGCTAAACAAAAAGACATATACAAACAATCCATCTAGCAAACACTCTGCTATGCACCTTGCAAACTGGGTTAGCTATTAAAACAATTACACTAGCTGGAATAATAAATCCTTAAAACTTACCAAAATGGCCCAAAGACTGTCACAGGCATAACTATGTCAGCAAAGAACACCAGAAAGTAACAGTACTAAGCAGAAAGTAGAAAAATAATTTGAACTTTCTGTCTTATACATAGAGTTCTTTGCCATCTGACCAAAATAGCATTACTGGATATAACCAAGAAGAGTGGGGGCTAGATCTGACACAATGGTTCACAATGAGAACTCCAGGCTTCTCTAGTTGCCTGGAGCACTGTAATATGATTTTCCAGCACATTAGGGAAGCAAAAGTAGAACCAAAAAGTCTATGTACTGGCTGGATTTTGTTAATGTCACTTAAAATGGAGGAAAAAATCCTAGCAAGATACCAAATAGAGTGCAGCAGATGGTAAACAAATATTATGAAGCAATCTTTACAAAATCTGCAGTGTGTCACAAATACACAAAATGGCAGAGTTTGGGAAAAGAGAATCATAACAAGCCATATGTTGTGAGTGGTTTTATTTGAAGCAACATGCAATCCAAAAGAGAAACCTAGAAGAGGAACAGAAAGGTCCGATAGAGTAATGGCAGCCTCAGGTGAGGGTGGTCAGAATGGCCCACCATGTACACAGCAGAAAGCACCCACAGCATAGCAGGTACTCCAGACGAGTTTTAGGAAAAGTAATCTACTCCTACATCAAGCAACACAAACTTAAGGCAATATATTATATGTCATTTGTCACATTCCTTCTGTGCCAGGTGGAAATCAATTAAAACTACAGCAAAGGCATTTTACCCAAGCAAGAGGAAAGAAATGAAAACTTAAATGTAGGACTTAGAAAGATATAAACAGGAAATTACAAAAAGGATGTTGAGTTTAGAGCGTCTTCTAGGGTGGATTCTGCTGATCTGAGCAGGACAGGTTCTATGGCCACATCTTTATTTCCATTTGTCACACAGCTCCAAGCCTTCTTCCTTTTGAATACATCTTTGTTTCTTTGTTTTATTTTTTATTTCCTACTGATAAAAGTACTGAAACAGAAAACTAGTGAAAAAGAAAAACCAAACCAACACTGGCTGAAGCTGCCCGTGGAACTTACACTGAATGAAGGAGATGAGAGAATGAATGGGCAATGGGTCTCTGGGAAAGAATGTTCTGAGCAAAGGAATGGCAAATAAGTAAATAACAATTCTGGCATGTTCCAAAACTCGAGAGGGAGCCAAGGCAGTAGAACAGAACAAGAGGTAGGGAGATAAACAGACAAACTCACAGAAGTAACTGTACGCTAAGGTTGGGGCAGATTTGAAATCATAAGAGATCTGGGCATGTTAAGGACTTGGCTTT